GATCCTTTCCATTATATCATCTGAAAGACAATCAAACTTATTTAAGCGAAAAAAAAAGTCTGCTGCTTTTACAGAAGGTTCTATTGCTTTTGTTAGAAATTCTAGTGGCTCTATTGCCTTTGCTGAAGGTTCTATATCCTTTGCAAAGGATTTTAATGCTACATTTGCTGAAGGTTTGGTTGCTTTTGAAGATGATTCTGATACTAGAGGTTCCGTTATTCTTATCAGAGAATCTGATACTTCTAGAAAAGAAATTAAAAATGAAGTACAAATTAATGTTGGTGATACTTTTTCTTTATGGGATGAGGTAGACATAAAGTTCAATTTATATGCAAAAACAGCAGGATTTTCTATATGTCAGAAGTGCGTTGAGCTTGATAATGATGAGATAGTTTGACATCATACATTTGAATGCAGTTTTTCTAGTAAACCAATTTCTAATCAGGTGATTGATATAAATTATCAACAGCAGCGCCCATCCAGAAAAATAATGTACTCATAGCACATTAATATTACAAATCTGAAGTCATCATCAGAAATAAGAATTAATAGCATCATTGGATAACATAATCATCTTATGATACCTGACACATATTTATATGCTCCTAAGTACCATTGTCTTTCAGATGATATAATGGAAAGGATCAAATTCTATGTTACCAAAGGAAATATGGGTTCAAAACAAATATATCCCTTATTGGTTGCAACTTTTTTGGATCAATATATTTATAAAAGAGATCTTCATAATGCAATTCAAAGGTTTAAAACCCCATTTACTAACCGATATAGAGATGCACAAAATATGATCAATACATTACTTAATTTAAAAGATCAAGAACCTGGATGGATCATTTACACAAGAATTGATCCTTTTGATAACTGACTTGTAAGTCTGTTTTGGATATCGCCTAGTCAGAATCAATATCTTATATGCTATAACAATATAGTACAAATGGATAATACATGTCAAACTAACTGGTTTGATATGTATTTAACAATACTAATTATTATGGATAATAACACTAAAAGTCATTTTGTTGCTTAATATTTGTCAGAAGACGAAACAGTTGAAAGCTATGAATGGTTCCTTAACTATGTTCTTCACGCAACTAATCATATTTCACCTAATTGTTTATTTTCAGATTCTGATCCTACTTTAATGAAGGCAGTGGTATTGAAGATGCCTAATACTCACCACTTTTTTTGTATTTTTCACATACAAGAAAACCTACGAAAAAATTTGGCAAGCAAATTAGGACAAGATTATAAATCTTTTTATAAAGATTTTTTACATACTCAAAACAGTTTATTTGAGGATGATTTTTATCATCATTAGACACGATTGATCAAAAAGTATCCTTTAGCTCAAGATTATCTTAATAGAACTTTAAATACTTTTATCGGTCATGAGTCAGGTGTTATCAATTCAAAGACTTTACGGCTGGCATTCAAAGCACACAAAGGATCAAAGTTATGAACCATTTGATTAAAGAAGGTGCTAATAGTTTATCTTCGCTATGTAACTTACATGATCAAACACAAAGATTATTAGACGATGAAGCAAAATGGGCTTGGTATAATACATATATTCATAGTCTTCCAATCAACCAGGTATCATCAATTATCGATCCCATATTTTCTAATATTAATAAATTAATAAAACGTTATCTAACTTTACATATCCTATCAGTTCAACATCAACAAATTCTCGGGTCTTTATTATACTGTGCTAAAATTGTTTTGAAAGAAGCAATTGATATTGCAAAGGTAAGTTATATTAAAAGCAAAAATGATGTTAGGGACGGGATTAAAAAATTAGAAGATAGGAAAATTTGATACTTACAAATTTTTCATTAGGATAACGATTAGCATAACTATGGCGATGGATTCCTTAAAGATCAATTAGATAGGCCACAAATATCCATTTTTTCCTATTGAAAAAAATCCAGTTATCTGATATCATAGAAATTTGAGAACTTACCAGTCTTACCAAATCATATAAGCATTATGTTATTTTACTAATAAATAATGATCATTTATGCACGTGTTTGGCTATAATTAATTGCGGACTTATATGTTTGCATTTTTTTCATGTAATGATGAATTCTAAGGTTGTAAAATTTAACATATATCTTATTGCAAAGCGATGATATCTAGAAGATATTCAAGATAGAGATGATCAAAATAATTTGCAATATGAATGTATGGAAATAGAAACACAATTCCAACAAGATAGTAATGGTAATCACGAATTATTAGTAGCTGATTTACATATCCTTAATCAGCTTAGAGTACCAGATATATTCACAGCTGATGTTAAATGACGCGTACAAAGAAAAGAAAAATATGCATATGGGTTTAGAAAGATAAAAAAAGCTCTTAATTTGGCACTAGATTTAGGTTGTGAAACTGAATTTATTGATATGGTTAATGGATTTATCAATTGTAAGAAAAATGATATCGATGATACAAATGATGAAAATAAAGAAAATTTGAGTATGTCTGATCCTTTGATTCAAAAATGACATGGATGTCTATCACATAAACGTATTAAATCAGCATTAAAAAATGCACACTATAGCACTAAAATTAGTACTCTTAATCCACCTATTCCTAATTTACAATCTTCATTAAGAATCCCTTTACATACTTATGCCTTATAAAAAATTTTATCCGTGATTTCTGTAAAAATTCCGTTAATCTGATACATTTACAGAAAAATAACTAAAAATTTAAGTAACTCAGGATAATTTCCATGTTTTTAAAATATAAGTTCTGGAAATATGATACATTTATGGAAATAAAATAGAATTTTAAATCACAGAAAAATTTTTTTTATAGGGATGATGTTAGCAATTATGGACAAGATAATGATCATATGGGTTGATTGCTAGAAAAATCAGGTTCCGGAAATTTTTTAGCAAAATTGAGATTTTTATTGCATTTTAGATTTTGATGTTATTAGATTAAAATGTATTAAGCTCTAAATTTTAGTCAAAAATTTCTCGGAACCTGATTTTCCTAGAAACACTCCCATATGATACTTGATAATATAAACGAAAATACAAGCAAACGAAAATATATATGCAAAGTTTGTGAGGAATCTGATCATAATACTAGAAATAAAGCAAAATGTGTTAAACAGAATCAGTAATAATAATGTATTGCTTTAAATAAAAATTTGATATATATATTTTTTTTAATAAAATATATTGAAATATGTAATTTAGTATAATTATGTGACTTAATATAGTTACGTGATCTTAGTGATGATCATCTCCGGTTATGATTAGTAAAATTCTTATTATAATATACTTACTACAAACTGCTATAACAAGAAATATTTGCTAAAAACGCATATATCACTAAAATTACTATAAATCTCTTAATCGCTAAAATCATTATAAACTGATTATTTGATATATAATTCTAAATTATGGATTTAAATAGTAGAGCTTATTCTAAGCTAATTAGTGCATACAATACTCATGGAGGCTCTGAAGAATATATAAGAATAGTTGATGCAATAGGTCCTTTAATAGTAAAACGTAATTATGAAACACCAGAAATGTGATGCTCTCGTATCTGTGATCCATTTAGAGAAATACTAGAAAAGAACTATTTTAGGGGAATTCTTTCTAAGAATGAATATATTATAATATATAAAATATTATATGAAAGTGATAGGTATCATGGTTTTCCAACAAATTATATATATTGTAGTGTATGCGACTTCTTAGTTTTCATATCTAAAAATAATCATATAGATAATTTCTATCGAAATAACTACTTAAAGAGTTGTATTAATAGAGATACTATTTCAAAGAAACATGCAAAAAAAAAAGATATTCTCTAATCTATTGATAAAAGAGAATTTAAGATCTAGTAATACAAACAAACTATATTAAAAAAAGAGACTAAAATTAATCATCTTCATTTAGAGCTTTTCTCTTAATCTACCCTATACTCAAAAAAGGATAAATTAGCATCAGTATTATATGATTATGATACTCATTCAATCAGCTATGAAGCTTACCTTTTGGCTAAAGCATTTATGGCAAAAAATACTATGTCAAGTGCTTCTGAGCTAGCTTGTATTTCACTTGCTAGGCAAGAAAATATTTCACTAACTATTTATCAGTCATCAAATTGCAAAAGTGATACAGGTGAAATATTTATCTCATCTCTATATGCAAAACAAAATAACTTACTAGGTCTATTATCCTAAACGCCTTTGGTTGAAACCTTACCACCTATAAACTATCTTAATCAGCCTACATTAAGATTGAAAGATAGGACAAAAATCACATTCATTTAATATTCTTTATTTTTACACTATATAATTTGCATGCATAATCGCTTAGTATAATTGTGAAATGTACTACTTGCAGGATAAAAAAATCTGATTTACCTATTCTGGGTTAGATTCTCAGCAATATATTATATAACTATTTTAATAAAGTATTTTTTGAGAAAGATCTCAAATATTGTCTTAATAAAATATTATTCAGCTATGCGAAATGCCTCAAGGCTAATGCATGTAAGCATGTGCAACATAAATAAAACGTGTTTCTGATTCTTGTTAAAGTATATATGATGTAATATGTAATAGTCTGTAAATCATCTGTGAAACTATACTTATGTGACAAAATAATTTCACACATAAACTACTTCTTAAAATATTTCGAATTTTTTTCTTATAACATTAGTGAAATATGATTTAGCAGAATAACATTTACTGATATGAATATTTGCTCTAAAGGAACAAGTTCTCTGATACCACTGAATTTTGAAGAAAATATATTTATATAACGTTGCTTAGGTCTTAATATTAACTATTGAGTGATCAGATAAGTGAAAAAAGTCTGTATATGTATTATCCCAATGCCTTTTGTAAATGTTAAGATCTTCAATGCACATTCTGCATATTTTTACTAACAAACATAGAATTTTAGCACAAAGTGCCTTGCATATTTCTCCTATCTCTTTTCTAACATAAATGTGAGTGTAAATGTGAGAAAATGGTGGTATTTAAAAGGTATATAGATAATTTTTAGCTTTTTGTCATTTATTTTGCTATTGGCGTTATCTCAGTATATTAATATTATTTTATATTTTAAATCAACTATGTAAATATGTCTACTGTAATGCATAATAAGATTTATGAATTCTTGATGACTGCTGAGAAATGTCAAATAAATGCTATGTCTATTATTTATCTTAAAATGAAAGAAAACCGCTAGGTTTTTTAGATAAAGTTAAAATCAATTGTAGAATGAGCTGTAGGATTTGTTAGCAATACATTTATAGAAGGTTCTTCTCATTAATTAAAAATTTTCTGAATCTTACTACAGGTTAATTAAGATTTATGCAAATATTTTAGCTTTTTATTATTATATGATGATATTATATGATCGTTTACTAAAGTAAATCTGAATAAATAAGTTGTTTTTTGATTTGTTGCTTATGTTTAACCTACCTATTCAGTTCGCTTACCAGTAAATACTTATATGTAATAAAGGGGTGTATATGTTATAATCTGTTATACAGTTTTGTAGTTCACCTACTAACCTATTATGTGAAAAGATTATTGTCATATCGAGGGATGTGTTAAGATATGAATTATTATAATACTTTATTAGTATCATATAAAGTTTTATCTGCATAATAGCTACACAAAGATGATAACTTCACATATGCACTGATGATTGTGTTATTTTTATGATGAGAATTACTTTTTATTTCTGAAATCTAACGTAATATTTTTTTTAGTTTAACATTAGCTTTGAAGGTGTTTGTATTTTATATGATATGAGACAATTAAAACAGATAAGGAAATTCTTTTTGGCTCAGATCAGATTAATGATAATATAAATGATCTGAAAGAAAAGCTTAGAAAAAACACTTCGCCTCTTTATCAACAATTATATTCTAAAGTAAATATTATATCTATTCAAAACTTAACCTGAAAGGATCCTTTAGCCAGCTGAGTTATTAGCGATCAATCAGAAGTTATCAAGCAGTTATCATCAAATCTAAAAAAAGCATTTAAGGTAGGTAACTTGTTGAAGGTTCTTTGAGAATAAATATAACATATTTTTATATTAGAAACCTGCTCAGCAGATGGCGCCTGCTTCTATGACAATAGTTAAAAAGATGTGTAAAAATTTTGTAACAAGTTTCGTTGATAATAACATTCAAAATACAATATTAGATAAACTAATTCACAATAGGTCCTGGAAAAAATCAGAAGAAAAAATTACAGATGTTATAAAAGAAGTTTTAATTCTTCTGAAAGATATTTGGATTAATCCAGCTTTTAATTCTGAACTTGCAAAATCGCTAAATAAAGGAACCTATCAATCAACAGTTATTCTATTATCTATTTGAGTAATATTGAAAAATCTTTCTTTTAGTCTATCCTCATTTATTAGTACTTCAGAATGATAGAGTATTGCTAGTGTAGATAGGAAAGGCGAAAGGTAAGTAGGAAGACAACCAGATATTATGTATGTAGTAAAATATTTAGATATTTCTTTGAGCTTATGTATGTCGAATGTTCACGATTATACTGTAGTCAACAGAAAAAGATAGATAATAAGATAAAGCTATGGAGAGAAAGTAATGATGGAATGTTTTGAATTCGCAAAGTTCTTAAACCAGAGAAAGATCAATTTGGAATAGTTAAAGTGCAAGTAGCTGGAAATATGTTGCATCTAAATGTACTTATTAGAGATAAAGCAAACATTCATAGATATTTTCATTTACAATCAGCTGAAATTCCTGTGCAATTGTCAAATATAAGCGTTGTAACTAAATTGTGAAAACCCTTTTACTTTTACAAAATATATTAATTACAAATTTGTCCCTACTATATTATGCATCTATTTTTATATCAGAAAGACAAAAAGAAAATAGTATTACAGTTTTCACTCCAATGCGAGATGATTAGAGTTTCTTTTTTTTTTTGTAATTTATATTATATATCATTATTTTTGTATCAATAAAGTATTCTAGTAGCTAATTATTTTTACATATTCATCTGTATATTTTTTCGTGTAGAATATATATTGTTAAGCTTGAAGTTTGAGAATGATAAGGCTGAGAACAATAAAATTATAATCAAAAATGTTGAGCTTAAGGCCAGAGTTGCGAAATTAGAAAACAATTAATAAAAAACTTGTTATCTGTATCATGAAAAACATGATCATGTATTAATTTGGCAAAATTTCAGCTAGGGCACTCCTGCTAAATCACGTGAAATTTTTATTCAGTAGATCAGAGTTAATGCAATATATTTAATATAGGAAAGTAGAATTAATATTACGCAATTTCGCGATAATGACATGGTATTGATATGGTATTTTTTTTAGATTTAATAGTACAATATATTATTTAATACAGTATTAGTGTGGTATTTTCAGTGACGAAAAATGAGTTTCCCGTTATAGAAATTTCAGTCATAAGACTTTTCTCAGATAATGCAATTTTTAGACTATCTTAACGTAATTGCTTTCACGTGACTTTGGTTAAAATTATTTCACAGTAATTATCTGCATGATTCTAAGCCACATCCAATATATATAGTCATTCAATATGTAATGACTTGTCTTTTGCGCTTCTGCCACTCTCCTCTTTACGTAATTGCAATAATATAATTAAGAAAGGTATATAATACCATGATCTCTAGGGACCTGAATCCCAAAAAAATAAAAAGCTTTTTACAATGTGGATTGACGAGCAATTTTGAGTCTTGATCGACAACCGCAAAAAAATAATGAAATGTTTCATGAACTAGCTGGGAATGGAAAGAGAATTTTCTGAAAGAAAGACTTCACAAAGATCAACTTTCAGTTTAGAACATCTTATACTGGTACACGTTGTAGGAAAAAGTTTGAGAGTCTTAAACGGGATTGTAAAGTATGTAGAAATCCTTTTGAAATCTCAGCCATATACAGCACCTGATACCAGACTAATTTATCTTTCTATTTAGTATATAGAAGCATACATCAATGGTAAAGTCAATGGAAAAAAGACTAAGAATGGTCTTAAGTATTATAAGGAATTCAAAAAACAGTTCTAGAAAATACCAGGTAAAGATTAGTTGATCAGAGAAAGGAATATTTATAAGAAGATATACTAATCCTAATACTTTATTTCACTATAGTGACTGACTATAATCAGCTCTGTGAACAAATATTACAAGAAGACATCAAACTCCACTACCGCCACCGCCACCGCCATATGAAGAAAATGGAGGTTCTACCTCACAAGTACCACCACTACACTCGTAATGATAGGAATAATTATATCTAGCTATTAGTATTTTTCGCTGTAGTTATTTTATATTGCTAGAAATCACCCAATACTTGTATAATGTGAATACCAATTATAATAAAAATAATATCATCATTTTTTGAGGAAAATTAACTGAGAGGCGCTTTGCATGAATTAGCTTGAATACTTTTTTCCTTGCGCTTTTGCCTCACCTCTATCTCATTCTGCAGATTTAGTGGAGTGTCAAACCTTAGGCGGATTGCAAGGGGATCATCTTCTGGCCTAGTAAGATCAAATACAATAAATTCACCTCTTCGAAGGTAGCTATTAATAACCATAGATGCATTTTTCGCATCATCAGTATAGCGTCTAATGATCTTAATCTTCATGCGTTAGATATGATCATTGGCACATGATCGATGATGTACGGTAAGTAGTCATGGTCATTGCGAGTGCGATAATCAATTTCCAATTTTTTAAAAATCTCATCATTTTTCTTTTTACGGTTTCCAATTTTTAAAATTCTTTCTCGTGTCATTTTTTTACCATGTCAACTAGTACTACTATGTCTCATGAATCGCAACTACAAGCAATAGAAACCTTTTTCAAGAATAACACGGATTGGTCATTGATCAAGTTCCTTAAATACAGAGCGCAAGAAGGTGATTTTACTTACGATAAAAGAAACGAGCATATGTTATATAAGGTTGCTCTGAGCTTATTATCTAATGAACATCCCCAAGCTCAACAATATATCTCTAATTTTGAAGTTAAGTATTGTATTGACTTTAAGATGAGTGGGTTCAAGGGCTAAAATACGTTTCTGTCCTGAGACAATTACGTGACGTATTGACAAACCACCGAGTAGCTAGCTACTTACGCACTGGCTGGTGATAGTGAAGTACGCCTTCCCTTGGTCGTCCTTGAATAGACATACACTTCCCGGTCAAAAGTATTGGACCACGTGATTTTTGTTATACTAATTGGCGTAATTTTTGCCGATTATAACTT